GTCTGAGCTCAGATCCTTTTAGCAGCGACATTTAGAGCCTTGAAGGCAAGCACAGCACTGTGGGGCTGACTAAGGGCAGGGGGCAGCTCCACCCATGGGGCTGCGTGATTCCTGAAAGAGCGGGAAGAGGTGGCGGCTAGGGGGCGGGAGGGCGTCCATCACACTCTGTGTGGGAGTTGTTACTGGAAGGCTAGCAGAGCCACTCACGTCCAGGTAGTTGAACAGGGGCTCGCTGGCCACCTCCCCGAAGTTGGAGAACTTCCTGCTGACGGCAGAGTGGTGTGTCTTCAGGTAGTCCTCCAGCAGCCCATGCTCCTTCAGGGCCTTTCTCAGGGACTTGCCTTTGTACAGAGGGATCCTGAGGAAACAGGGGAGAATTAATGAGGAGAGTGGGCATCTCCCCAGGGCTGCCCAGCCTCTGAGAAGTGCCCAGGCATGCTGAGCTTTGTAAAATACCCCTTTACATTTTTATCATAACCCAAAGTAAAAAATATATTTACACCAGCTCACAAGTCCATGCCTACCCTTACTAAATGCAATGCACTCTGATATTTTCCACTTCTTTCTCTTTTTTTAATGCTGGTGGAGACTCAATAGACGTATTTTATAACCCACGAGTGAGTTTTGCAACTCTGAAGTTTGAGAGACATGAAACACATTCTCATTCAGTCTCCAAAGTCTTGCTGTGCTCCTACTATGTGCCCGATACTGTGTGGGGCACAGGGAACACCACAGTTAACCAGGTACAGTCTCTACCCTCCGGAGCACACTGTCTGCAGAGGAAAACTTTGTCCCCCACACGGGTAAATGGGTAAATGCTACTCGTATGACAACACCCCTGCCCTTCGTAACCCCGTTTCTCGGCTCTCTGGGAAGTCTAAGGTGGGTGGAAACTCTTCAAAGGCTTTCAGCACAGGGCAGGGTCCTCATGGACCTCCTGAGAGAGTTCAGGTGTTAGAGCGGGATGACAGAGGCAGATCCACAGAGAATCAAGAGGGGAGAGAGCAGAAGCCTGTCTGTGGCACCTTGGTGGCTCCCCGAAGCCCTCTGAGCTTTGGCTCCCTCCTCTGCAAAATGGGTTAACTCCTTCCTTTCCAGCCATGCTCCTGGTCCCGCCTTTGACCACCAAATGGCTTAGCCCCTCTGTCCCTTAGTGTCCTCTCCAGGAGGCTGAAGGAATGGAGATGCTGATTCCCAGTGTCCCTTCCAGCCCTAAGAGTCATGTAGCCCTCCTGCGTGGGGCCAATTTAAGGATAGCTGGAGACTACAGATGTGAAAGTACTTTGAGAGGAATAAAATGGCAGCAGTTTTCAGACCCATGAAGAAAACGTTTTTTTTCTCATGTTGTTCACATCCCAAAGGGATCCCATATGGAACGAACAGCCTTGCGTGTGAAGTATGGGCTGCCCTCTGGTGCCTCCCACCCACAGCCCTCATGTGTGACTTCAGCCAGGACCTGACTTACAAATGAAAGGTTCTCGAGACATTTCTCAGCCTTTGTCCCTGATGATAGACAAGGACTTAAGCCCTAAAAGAAGGATGTTGGGCGGAGCTTCTGGGGCAGGGCCCACAGCTGCCCTTTCCTGTGTCCCCATATCCAGGCCCCCAGCACTTCCTGCTTGCTCGGCTCTGGTTCCCAATTGATGCTGGATCTCCTTGCTGAAGGCCTGGTGACTCCCACAGCAGTAGTTGTGACTCTGCTGAGCTGCCCTATCCCAGCACAAAGCCCCAGAGAGCCTCCCTCAAAGGGAGCTCAAACCTGGAACCAGAAGTAGCGTATGTCATGGCAACATGTGAGTCCACTTGGGACCAAGTCCTAGCTCCCCTATTACTAACCCCGTGGCTTTGGGCAGCTCAGTGCATTCTCTGAACTACAGTTTCCTCACAGGTAAAATGCAAATAACATCTCCCTAGCCGACGAGGATTATTGACAACATAGGTAAGACCTAGTTAAGTGTTTGGCACCTGGTAGCAAGCAGCTCAGTAAATATCAGTTATTATTTTGGGAGGAGAACCTGGGACCTTCATCCACAAACAACTTGGCATAATGGAGAACTTCATTTTGCTTGACAAATGCATACATGGCTCTTACAAGGCGCCAGGCACTGTCTGAAGCATTTTACAACCATTAACTCATCTGCTCGTCCTGACAACCCTAGGAGATGGATACTCCTGTCATCCTAATTTGACAACTAGATGAGGAAACTGGGCACAGAGAGTTAAGTTCGTGATGGAGCTGAGGATCAAATCACAGGCAGTGTGACTCCGGAAGTCATGTCCGTAATCTCCCTGGCTGCCCCCACACCCTGAAATGTAGGGACACCCTTAGAGGAGAAGGTCCCACATTCACTGGCAAGACTGACCGGGGGCGATTATCCTGGGACCCTGCCGCATTTCCTCTGAAGACTCACCAGGGAGATGATGACTGGAAGACCAGGGAGAGACCACCCCAGAGAGACGCATGAGATGCTCTTTCCCTCCCCTGGAGCTTGACACTCACCTGGTGATCTCACTCTGGGAGAGAGCGAGGACTGCAAGTAGCACCACGAGAGACCTCATCCTGGATGGTGGGCTGGTGACTGCTGAAGCCAGTGCCCATTCCCACAGCCTTTATAGAGGGTGCGAGGTTCCCTCTGGCTGGAAGCCCAGGCTGCAGAGATAGCCCCTGACTTTAGACCACTCTACAAACACATTAAGATAGGGCC